GCTTTTCAAATAAGCTGTTTTACGTAATGCTTCCAGAAGCTGTTAAACCACATTTGAATTATACCAAACTTCCAATACACCACCTTAATTCAAATGCTCAACATTCTTCATGCCCAACTTCATCACTAGCTTCTTGAAAACATCATTCGTAACGCCTTTCGTCAACAGGTCCGCAACTTGTTCTTCGCTTCTGCAGTACCCCAAACGTAACTGTCCAGAACTCACCAATTCCCTCAAATAATGGAACCTCATCTCAATATGCTTGCTCCTCCCATGTGCTATGGGATTCTTAGCAAGGTTGATGGCCGAAACGTTGTCCACCAACAACAGAACAACTCCTCGCGTACTGCTGTCCAGCTCACGCAACAGGTTCACAAGCCACACAGCTTGGCATGCACACAACGATGCTGCGATATACTCCGCCTCACAAGAAGAGAGTGCAACCACCGACTCCTTTTTAGAACACCAAGAGATTGGTGCTCCGCTGAACATAAAGACATAACCAGCCGTAGACTTTCGATCGTCCTTATCTCCGCACCAATTGGAGTTGGTGTATCCGAGTAACTCGCAACTTCTGCCCTTGTCTAATGCAGGAAATAAAATTCCACAGTAAAAAGTACCTTTCACATATCTAAGGATTCTCTTAACTGCAGCCAAGTGTGATACCTTTGGCCTCTCCATGAACCTACTTGCAATACCGACACTAAATGCTAAATCTGGCCGCATATTGCACAAAAAACGCAATGATCCTATCAATCTCCGGTATTAAGTAGGATCCACATCTTGCTCTTCTTCACTCTTGGACAGCTGCAAACGTGCCTCAGCTGGTGTTGTGGCAGCCTTACAATGCTCCATATCACACCTCTTCAAAATCTCCATTGCATACCTTCTTTGATGCATGAGCAGTCCCAACTTTGTCTTTTGGAACTCTATGCCTAAGAAGTATTTCATAGAGCCAAGATCACTCATTTCAAACTCCCTCATAAGCTCTTCTTTGAACTTTGAAATGTACTTTTCACAACTGCCCGTAATCAACAAATCATCCATATAAAGACAAAGTATGGTTACTCCTTCGCTTTTATCCGACTTCACATACACACCGTGTTCGGATACGCACTTCTTAAAACCAATATTGATAAGAAAACCATCTATGCGTTTGTTCCAAGCTCTTGGAGCTTGTTTCAAACCATATAGTGCATTCCTTAATTTGTAGACCCTTTCCTCTTGATTTTGTATCACAAAACCAGGTGGCTTTCCAACATACACTTCCTCATCCAATGGACCATTCAAAAACGCCGATTTGACGTCCATTTGATATAACGGCCAACTGTTGTTATTTTCAATCGCAACAACTAACCGGATGGTTTCATGCCTTGCAACCGGTGCGAATACCTCATCAAAGTCTATGCCTTCCTTTTGCAAAAACCCCTTTGCTACCAATCGAGCCTTATGCTTGATTATCTCGCCTTTCTGATTTGCTTTTACTTTGTAAACCCATTTCACACCAATCGCCTTTTTACCTTTCGGTAAATCAACCAACACCCACATAGTGTTCTTCTCAATCGATTTCAGCTCTTCCTTCATTGCACACATCCATTTTGGATCGCTTAATGCCTCCTCCGTATTTACCAGTTCGGATTCGTCCATTAAAGCGAAATGAATAAGATCACCATCATTGTTGATCTCACTATCTCGGAACAGTTCACAATCTCGGAGTCTTTGAGGCATACCTCTATTCCTCACAGGTCTACCCTCATTCATAACATTGTTTTCAGCTGATGTAGGTGCTGGTACAGCGGCATCGGACACCTCCGGATCAGAAATTTCAAAAAACTGATGCTGTTGATTTTTTGCTGCTGTTTCTGCACTTTTGATTTCATCAAAAGTCACGTCTCAGCTTATCACGATCTTCCGATTCTTCTCATCAAACAACTTGTAACCACCAGTAGTGTGATATCCAACAAACATCAACTTCTCACCTTTATCATCCAACTTCTTTCTAAGTTGATTTGGTACATGACGATATGCAATCAATCCAAAAATGCGCAAATGAACCACACTTGGTTTGAAACCACTCCAAACCTCTTCCGGTGTGATTTTCTCCAGCTTCTTAGTAGGACACCTATTCAACAAGTAGGTGGCTGTAGATACGGCCTTACCCCATAGTTCTTTAGGTAACTTCTTCCCACAAAGCATGCTATGCACCATGTTCATTATTGTACGATTTTTCCTCTCAGCAGCCCCGTTTTGTTGAGGCGTATATGGAGGCACCACCTCACTCACAATACCCTCAAGATCACAAAACTTCCCAAATTCTCTAGAGGTATATTCACCTTCACCATCTGTTTTGAGAATTTTGAGCTTCCGGCCGCTTTGACGCTCCACCATGGATTTGAAACTCTTGAACACTCCAAATACCTCATCCTTTCTCTTGATAAGATAAGTCCAAAGCTTCCTACTAAAATCGTCAATAAACATAACAAAATATCGATTGCCTCCATATGTCTCTACTTGCATCGGTCCACAAACATCAGAATACACCACCTCAAGTAAGCTTTTGGTTCTTCGACCCGCATCCTTGCTAAACACCTTCTTGTGTTGCTTAGATGTGACACATTCCTCACACAATTCTGTCGAAACACTAATATGTGGCAGCCCCGTTACCATTCCACTTTGTTGCAACATCTTAAGATCCCTAAAATTAAGGTGACCAAGACGGTAGTGCCATAGCCACTCCTCTCTACTTGCCGCAGTATCTAAACAACGATGCTCCATAACCTTTAACTCAACCTTAAAAGTTCTGTTGGCAGCCATATGTGCTTTTAGAATCAACACACCATTTGAATTTAAAACGCGTAACATCTTATTCTCCAATCGAATTAAGTATCCTCTTTCAAGTAATTGGCCAATGCTTAAAAGATTGCACATAATTCCCGGTATGTACAAGACATCTTTGATCCTCGAATGTCCTCCATTCTTCCTTTCGATCAAAACATCTCCTACCCCTTCGGCGCTTAAAGTAGTGTCGTCGACAAACTTGACTTTACTCTTTGTCGCTTGATTGATTTGCACAAACCAATCCTTTCGACCCGTCATATGTGTTGAACAACCGGAATCCAAGTACCATTCATCTTCACTTTGAACTCCATCATGCATGGTAAGTAATGCATTTCAATCCGAACGCATTTTTCCACCACTTTCCGAAACTGTACAGCTGCTGTCCCGCAGACTATCACCACAATATCTGCTTCCCGGAACATCAACAATGCCATAATTTCTTCCGTAATCATCACAAGAAGGGTATCTTCGTCATCTACCTCTTCCCTAGCAACCTTAGCCTCATCCGCATCCTTTTCCTTGCGTTTTGAGCGACATTCTTTTGCAAAATGCCCAAGCTTTTGACAATTATAACACTTCACAAAACTTTTGTCAAACGGTTTGTGGGCGCTTTGATTACCGCTTTGGAGCTTCCTTCACCCTTTGAATTTTGTGGCTTTGTCGGCACTTCTCTCATCCATTCTTTGTTCATGTGCCTCTAACGAACTTTGCAACTCATCTTTGCTCAAAGTTGTTAGATCCTTTGACTCCTCAATAGCCACAACAATGTTATCGAAACGTGATGTTAACGAACGCAACACTTTCGATACAACATTCTACTCAAGGATCGTTTCGCCACATGACTTGATTTGGTTGACTAGCCGGGTAATGCGCGTGATGTAATCGTTGATCGTTTCTTTGCTCTCCATTTGCGTTAACTCGAATTGACGTTTGTAGGTTTGTAACCTTACCACCTTCGCTTTGACGGCACCGGCATACGCTTTCTCCAAGATTTCCCATGCTTGTTTTGTGGATTCACAATCACCAACCTTCTCGAAATTGTCGTTATCAACACACGAATGAATCAAGAATAGAGCTTTGTAATCCTTCTTCTTTTCTTCCTTGTGTGTAGCCCTACGAGCATCAGTAGCATCTGCCCCTAACGGTGTGACTCCATTGATGACGATCTCAAGAACCTCTTGATAACCAAACAGAACCTTCATTTGTTTCGCCCATTTGCTGTAGCTCTTCGAATCAAGAATTGGGAGATTGGTGGGAATTCGATCATTGGAAACGGTAGCCATTGTTGGTGTTGCAGCGTATTGGGATCAAGAACCAGGCTATTGATGCCAAATGTTGGCACAAGCCTCTTGCTTGTTTGTGAATCAATGTGAAAAGATATGGTTAACAATGGAGGATTTGGTTAATTGATGGAGAGGATGAAAATTTGAGAGAATTAGGGAGATAATAGAATTGTGGTAAAAAACTGTTATGACATTAATTCACAAAAAAATACAGCAAAGTATTTATACAATGCATACAACTTGGAACCAAACAGCTGGCCCAAAAGAAACAGAAAAAACCAAACTTTGCTTTAGGAAATCGATTCCTGCCACGAAACATGCCTTTCCTGCATAAAATTCAGACTTTCAAAAAACAGCTTTTCAAATAAGCTGTTTTACGTAATGCTTCCAGAAGCTGTTAAACCACATTTGAATTATACCAAACTTCCAATAATTTTTTGGTCTTTTTGAACTTATTTTATTTGTTAATAATTTATTTTTCTTTTATTGATTACTTTGATTGAAAATAATCACAATCATTCACTTGGTCTATACCGAATCTTAATTTCTTCCCTTTTTCTTTTACTTTTCCCTTTAACCTAACAATCAATAAAAATCACTATTTCGACGAGCAATTCAATCAACCAAAAAACAAAAACAAAAATATGTCCTATAGATATCAAACATTCTTAATTCTGATTCAAGTCTTGATACATAAGTAAAGAATTCAATTTTTTTTTGTCATGCACTCCACATGCATCATAGTTTTCTTTAAAGTAGAAAAAAATGATACTTGCCTTCAACCTTTCATTCAAAAGATTCATTTCATTCTCAAATTATTATATAATATTGTTTACTTCTTAGCCTTAAATCTGTGCCTTTCATTTTCTTCCTAACTAGATGGAACATTATGCTCTCACCCTTCAATGTTCTCCAATTCTTAGTCCTCTTTCATATAGTTCCAAATCATATGAAAATCGAAAATTTCATCTTAGATTAAACCAAACCACTCTTTGTATCCCTCGAGTTACCACAAGCCACAATGTTACACGTTCAATAAGCCATGCAAATTGCATGCATAATAGCTTCTCTGTGCCTAATTCAAAGACTATTGAAAAAAGTGACAACAACATTTTGAGAGGAATAAATGGAGTTTCCATAGTTTTGGGTTGCATTCTTGGAATGTTTAATTTTAATAGCAAGATGATGAATTCCAAGTTCAACACTGCTTATGCTATTATTGACCCTAACGTTGAACCATTAAGTGGAGGAGCGAGTTCGTTCGGTTCGTTGTGGAACTCGATGAACGCTGAATTAATAGATTCTGATATCAAGTTCAATTCTCCTCCTACTCCTGATAATAGGAAGGTTAATTAGTTTATCTTCTTTTGTTATGTTAATAAATTTGACTGTTAATTATTTTTTTTTTCATTTTTGATGGAATTATACTTTCAGAAACATGCTCTATATCTAAGAAAAACTGGGAAGAGAGATAAAGTAGAGGAAAAACTGAATGAGTTAAGAACTGAATACATGAATTCTAAAGATGAGTATTCAACTATATATATCGAACGTTCGGTTCGATCATCATTCATGGAACTTCTCTTGATTCAGGTTATAGTTTTTCAACTTGGAATTTTCGTAGTTGATTCTTAATTAAATGAAGAATTAATCACACAATTGTTAATTTTACAGGGACATTTTGAAGAAGCCCGAAAACTCCTAGACGATGAAATTGATAATCTCGTAAACCCTAAACGGGTAAATGAATTTCATCCTTGATATTTTTTTAATTTATTCAAAAAATATATGTATGATTTTTTCATATCATTAAATTAGTTAATTCATATTTATGGTACAGAGTAAAGTAAAATCAGAGAAAAAGATTAATCAACTGCTTGACATTTACAACAAAGAGAAGGTAGATCATGATAAGCAAGCAATAGCTGATATTATTTTTTATAAGGTTTGTGACCTATTTTATGTATCATAATATTTTCATTTATATTGTCCGAACACGTGCTTATACCTGCGATTATGAATTTATAATAATATATCCTGCGACATATTTCTGCGATGTTTCCTACGATATTTTCCTGCGACATTATCTGCTAAATTAATTATCCATGAAAGTTTTAGCCGGAAACAAAAAATAGTAGGAGGAATCGCAAGTATCATGTTCCTGCGAAAATTTTGTTAAAATCCGCAGAAAAACAAAGATTTTTAATAGTGTTTCTTCTTACTAACCGATTTTGTAGAAATGAGTTAGATGTAATAAGTGCTTAATTTTTTTTTATGAATGCAGGCCATTATACACATCATGTTAAAAGATAATAATGAAGCAGCAAAGTGGTGGGAAGCATTTGCAAAAACACTGCCTAAAGAGGCCCCAAATAAAGAGATCCATTTCCCATGGAGTATGTGAGGTGTTATTATCAAGTTCAACAACTTCAAATATATTGTTTTGTCAAAAATAAAACTATGCTAGTAGCATTTATTATTATCAATACGAGTGGAATTACTTATTGAATTTACGGTTCTTGTCTACTTTATTATTTATAAGAATTTGTTGTCCTTCTTCTATGTAAAGTGAAAATTAGTTTTAACGAAATAGGTAAATACATTGTTTTGAAAACTAATTTTAACGAGACCGAGAGGAGATTCTCGTTGATCATTAGTACTCACAAAATCGTTGTTTATATTTATAATGAAAAGTATTTTCTCATAAAAAAATGATTAATTAATTGAAAATACCGTCCACTTTCGTGTGTTCAATGTGTTATAATGCAAAATTTCTTTTGAATAATAATCAGATTTTACTTTGAAAAGTTGTGTTTAGTAAAAAAAAAGTAATTTAAAGGTGTCGCCCGTTTTTGTGTGACTGGTATTGAATTTTAAGGATATAAACACTCACTTTTGCGTATCTGTTTATACTCTTAAAATCGTCTTTTTAAAAATCAAAATTTTTTAAATTAATTTAAAAGCGCTTTCCCTCGCTTAAAATCAACTTCTAAAATTTTCTAAATCAAATATAGATTTCACTCTTTTAATTTGAAATTGATATGGCTATGTTTTTTCTTTCGCAGAAAACTTTAATTATAAAATCAAAAAGTTTCAATCATAAAAACAATTCTCATTACAATCATTAAATTTACAATCTATTAAAGCACCCGTCGATAGGACATACCGCACATTCTAGAGTCACCTGTTTTAGGATGACATATTAAAAAGGTTAAAGTTGAAGCATGTATTACTCGTATTCATATTGCAATTAATAAATATTAAACTAGGCATGTACAAACACTAGTGAAAGAAAAATAAAAGAATATGGAACTTGGATAATAAATGTTGAATGTAATAATAATCTACTTTAAATAGAGACTTTAATCTACTACAAAAACGTTCGAAATAAAATGTTGAAAAATTATATCAGTATAGAGGTGACAAAATAGATGAATTAGATGAATATGAATTGAATTGTTAATAGATAGATTAAAACATCAGTCCATTAACGATTCACTATTTTTTTTAAATTATCCAAGTCAATCCATCCATTAAAATATTTTTAATGGATGGATATCCATCCCTCTAACTTTTTTTTATTTCGAAAAAATAAATATATTTTTTTTTATTTTCGAAAAATTCATTTTTTGTATTTAAAAAAATTGTTTTTTAATATATTCGTGAAAAAAATTGAATTTTTTGTTTAAAAAATTATTTTTTTGTATTTTCAAGAAAAAAATTGATATTTTAATTTTTGAAAAATATCGATTTTTTTCGGGAAAAAATTGTTTTTTTATTTCAGAAAAAAATCATTTTTTTACGAAAAAAAGTCGGTTTTTTCGCAAAAAAACCGATTATTTTTTTATTTTTTTTTTGGAAAAAATCAATTCTTTTCTTTTAAAAAATTTATTTTTAATTATTTTTTAAAAAATAAAGATAATCTATTGGATCCTTAAAATATGTTGGATGGATCGAATCCATCCATGCATATAAATGGATGTATTTAATCTAATCCATTAACTTATTTTTTATGTGGTGGATGGATTGTATGGATTTTTTGATAGATGGATTGAATGGATTTTGCCCTAACGGATCCAATTACCACCTCTATGTCAGCAAGATTAACGCAGCAACAACACAATAATAGACAAATTTGCTCCAAACTTATTTTAATGTTGCAATATTATTCGATGTGAGAAAATAATCGCTTTTACAAAATAATTTTCTTACTAGTATACAAATCAAATGCTAAAAATAGAGTTCTAAGAGCCTATATAAGCTACAATTCCTACCGAGTGTTGTAAGATCGTGTTTAAAGTAGTGAGGAGAAAATTGAAAGTGGAGAAATATGCTTTTTAAAAGTGGCGAAAAAATTTGAATTACAGAAGCATGACGGGCATTATGACTATGACGTGCCATCCGCCATGCTGATGACGATCGTCACCTGGCTGACGAGTTGACCATCATCTATCTCAAGAAAATGATTCTTCATTTTGTTGACTTTTGGTGACTGATTTTCTGGGATGGTGACGACCGTCATAACTGCAAAATGTCTGTCATGATAGCATAAACCATGCAATTTCTTCCTATTTTTGTTGTTTATCACTGTTTTATCGCGCACAAGCCTCAAACCATTAGTTACTTGAAATTAGCAGACACTACCAGCATAATAGTACAAAAATACATAAAAACGACATAAAAATACATGTGAATTGAATCAAAATATACGATATGTTTGCGTGTTATCAAATCCTCCACTCTTAAACCGTTGCTTGTCCTCAAACAACTTATCTAGTATGTAAAAATAGTAAAGTGCAACAACTTAGATAAAAAGAAATTAAGAAAACATAGCATCTCAAATACTCATTACTACTAAAAGTAACATTTTTTATGACGAAACTTATATATCGAACAATAAACAACTAAGTGTATAGATTTCAAGAGCGCCATGTTTTATTTAAAAATAATAATTAATCTTTTTCCACAATTTTTAATAAAAACCAACATGAATAGTTGTTAAGGTTTGAGATTCGATTCTCAACTCTTACAATTTTATATTTATTTAGAATCAAAAAAATCACTTTTATTTTTTATAAATTTTAAATAGGATAATATACCTCGGTTTTTTAATATTTATATTCTTAATAAATAAAATTTCAAGCTTCTCCTAATTCAAAAAATTAAACCTTTGACCTCTTAAGTAAAGAATTGATCACAAAATTATTAATTTTACAGGAGAATTTCGGGGAAGTCCGGATACAACTTGACCAAGAAATTGAAATTTTGTATACCAAGAAATTGGAAATCCAGTTTCTAAAAGAGTAAATGAATTTCATCCTTAATATTTTTCAATTTATTGAAAAATATATCTATGATATTTTCATATCATTAGATTAATGTATTCAATATTTATGGAACAAATTTTTCATGCGTCGATGAAAAAACTGATTGAAATTTACAAGAAAGGGAATACAAATCATGACAAGCAATCAATTGCTGATATTATTTTGTATAAGGTTGGTGACCTATTTTATATCTTATCCTCGAATGTAATATTTAATCTCCTTTAAAGAGTTTTAAGTATGAAATCTAAGTTATTTCTCTCTTTATTTTTCTCTTAAGACATTCTTATGGGTTGAGTAAAAAGAGTAAGAGATAGACATTTGGAATTATTCTTGGAGTAAGAGAACTACTATTTTTTATAGATAAGTATCAACGTGTTTGTTCCTCTTATTCTTTAATATTTGCTTTGGTTTGATTATACAATTTCTCTACACATACATTATTATTATTATTATTATTATTATTATTATTATTATTATTATTATTATTATTATTATTATTATTATTATTATTATTATTATTATTATTATTATTCGAAATCTTTTAGTAGTCAGTTCTTATTGTCATTTCCTCCATTATTTTGGTCTTGTTGGTTAGAACAAGGTTCCAAATTCCCTAACAAGTGGAACCAATAATGGAATAACATGATCAATTTTTTAAGTGAGTTTTACGAATACTAAATGGGACATTGATAATTTTTCTTGAGACAATAATTTTAGATTGAAAAAGATAAAAATTCAAATAATTTTAATTTAATAAAAGTGCAAGAATATGTGAGAATACATTAAACGGTGAAACAATGATGCCAAAAATCCTAACACTAGATGACAAGACAAGATTATGTATAAGGTAAGGAGTGTCATTATTGTATTCCTTGAAAATGAAATGTTAAAGAGAAATTGAAGCAGAAAATACCATGATAGAAATGAATGTGAAACTTGAATCGTTGTATGTGACCAACTTGTTAGCTTGTATACTGAACTTGAAATATCAACTCTACTTATTTATGATGGTAAAAGTAAAATCTATTGTGAGAAAGTTGTCATATTTTAACAAAATAACAAAGAAGAAATATAAGTTAAGGTCCAAGTCAAGAGGTGGAGACAAGCCAAATATAAGTGGGTTGGGATGATTAATTTAGGCCTGAATAAGAAAAGGCTTATGACAAAGTATGTTTTGCATTAAAGCCCAACTAAGGACAAAAAGCAGGATAGCCTCCAAAAGCGAGTGTGGGCACTCAAAGTGGCGTGGTTGCCCGAGTGGAAGCGGCTACTCCCCTGCCAGAATTGGAGTCTCTCACTCACGACCTGTTTCATTTGTCTCATGGATATAACGGTCGAAGGTTATCAAGGAGAGAAAAAGTTGTCCCCTACGATCTAGGGAGAGATAACCCCCTCTACCCCATATTCTCCATAATGGAGTTAGGGGTTCCAACCTTAATTGTGTCTGACACGTGACTTCTCACACAAGAGGGTGGTGAATTGTGTGATCCCGAAAAAAATGGGTCTGAAAAACTTTGCAAATTAAAATCAGAGTTTAAAAACTTTTTAAATATTAAGCAACAGAAAGTAAATAGAAGAAAATAAATTGCGAAAATAAAGAGTTCAGGGAAAGAGAAGAACACCAACAATTATATAAGTTCACTCAAGAAACGACTTAGTCATGTTCCCAAGAATTGATCTTGAGAGTATCCAATAAACATTGAGAGCTTTTAGTAGGTAATACTCACAAGCCCCCTTATACAAGAAAAATAGTTGACTTCCAACCTAAACAGTAAAACTTGGAATATTGTGATTTTACTATTCTTTTCCAAATGGTATATCGAAGCGGTTAGACCTCTTTCCATAAATGGTAGATTGAATCAGCTAGTCTTATTTCCATGAGAATCTTAGAGCGGTTAGCCTTCAAGATTTGCAAGCTTTTACCACTGGCTGAGCTCGCAAACTTTAAAATTTGATTTTATACGGGCTAACTAATAACCTGAGAGGTTTTAATACCTTCCTAATCTCAAACCTTATCCAAGTTTTTAATACCAGAATAAACTTTAACCTAACCTTGGTTTTTACCATGAGCTAACCA